GCGTACCATATTCTGACAAAGAATATTGATGAAAAATTACATTTAATATATCATTTATATAATATTATTGTTACTATATTATATTTTAGTTTTTTTTCAATTTACATTTAATTTATCTAGCCTTTTTATTTTGTTATTTAACTGGTAAATAACTTTTTGTTATTTACTGTTCTGTCGATCACTTGATTGTTTACTACATGTGATAAAATATAAAACGTTTTAATATTCTTTAGGTATAATCTTTCACAACCTTAACAACGATCGGTATCTAAGAACTCATCAAATAATTTTCAATTTATCTCATTTGATTATCGTAGTTGATATAAAATTTTTTATTTTAACTAAAATTGCAGATATTGGAATAATTCATTTTGGTATCAACATACTTTAAGAAAAAAATAAAAAAGACACTAAATAAATATACTTGTATCGAACTAAAAATATGTTATGTAAAAATATCGACTTAACACACATTTTAATAAAACCAGATAACTTGAAAGTTAAATGAAAGATATTAAAGTTTAAAAAATATCTTATCATATTCTTGTATTATTTATCTGTTTTTTTTTATAAAAATAAAAGTAAACTATTTTATCGGCTTAGCTAAGAACAAGAAGAGACGAGCAAACGAAAAGGGACGAAATATTTATGAAAATTAATATTTGACCATTGACAATAGAAAAAAGTAAGAATACAATCGCTATAGAGAAATGAGATTGAGAATAAGGAATATGAAGAATCTATTTCATCGCCGTAAACAGAATTTTACATTACAATTAAATAAAATGTATTTCTCTGATACACAAAGGAATCATCGCGACAACAATCACGGCCAATTCAAACGATGACGTAAGCTTTCGTTCCTCCGTCTTCCTCCTTTGGTTTGGTGTGTTCGTCTATTCTCCCACCACGAACCCGCGGCATCTTCTCGCGCTGTGTCTGCTGCTAATCGAACGAGAAATAAAGATGCGACCTACCTTCCCCCTTTTCTCTCTCTTTCCATCCTCCTCCACCCTCCTCTCTTCCTCTTCCAACATTTACGGCGTTCCATCTCTGTTTTATCAACCTATCTCGATCTTTTACGTATCGGCGATGCAGCTGTTTCTCTATCCTCTTCCCACGTGCTTTTTCCTCGCTCACGCAGCCTTTTACGTTCCGTTTCTTTCTAACCCACGAATACTACACGCAGAACGTACAAATCTCTCTCTTCCTCTTTCTTTATCCCTCTCATTTCCTTTCTTTGAAAAGCGGCTCTCTCATGCAGAACTCCCTCTTTTTCCTTCCACCTATCACTCCCACCAGTCTTCGGTCGCTTCGATCTCGCTATCTCTTTCCTCTCCAAACTTAAAATTAGCGCTCTCTCTCTCTCTCTCTCTCTCTCTCTCGTTCTCGCTCTCGCTTTCTCTCGCACGCTGTTTGATGCTTATTTCCGTTCGACTCGACCGTTCCTCTCTTCCTTCTCTCTCCCTCCCCCCCCCCCCTTCTCTCTTCCTCTTATGCGCGTGGCCCCACGAGGAAGCACGAAGTATTACCGCGAGCCGAACGGCTGTTCGTGTTCAGTCTCGAACCTCGCGTCTATCGTCACGGAGTTCGTTTTCGCGCGGCGCGTCCTTTCGCCATTCGTTCTCCATTCGACCGGCCCCATGGAGAACTGTGGGCCTGACAGGTGCAGTGCGGTGTCAAAATAAGACGACAAAACCGGGAATCGACTCCGAATCAACGAACGAGGAATGAAGGACGAACGAGAGACGCGCACCTGCGACGCGAAGGACACCGACGACTCGATCGAAATAACAGGCTTTCCCGGCACGTCACGATACAGCAGTACATCTTTGTACACGTTTGTTTATGTTTAAACGGCACTCTGCATTCTGACATTGAGATTTAAAAAAAAAAAAGAAAGAAACGAGGAAATTGACGTCGCGCGCGATTCTCGACGATATTTTCCGCGATCGAGATTCCGATTGAGACGACTTCGAAATTCGAACGACTTCGAGGAGGGAGCATCTAACACGCGCGAAAGGGGTGCCATTCGAAAAAGTCGTGGGCGTTCGAGAGGCGCCGCGCATGCGGCGTCGCCCGTGCAACCCCGATTCAGCTGATCGAGAGTAAGAGTATCGCGTTTAGATAATTGGCACGTCGCGATTAATCTTACGTGAGAGGTGCATCAAGGTTGCATGGTCGTGCCGAGTGAATCTTCTCGGAAGAACGGCCGATCCGATTCGACTCGCTCTTCACGAAAGGTATGAGAAAGACGCGAGTATCGTGAAATTTTCGAGAGATACAGAGGCGAAAGCAAAAGATTAGCAATCCTTTTGGGATGTCGGCGTACAGAAGGTGGATTCTACGGCCGGCGAGGACGCGTTTTCGACACTTGACCAAACCGCTGATGATCCATCGCAGCTGAGATTTTGGATGATCGACCGGGCCGGTTGATCGCGTCATCGCGGAGCTTCATTCGACACCTGATTCGACATCTTTTTCGATACGTTTGTCTCTCTCTCTCTCTCTCTCTCTCGAGTTGGCGAACGCGTCATAGAAAGGGAAGAGTATTGCTGTGAAGGTGTCGTGTCACAGCGCGAGTAATCCGGAAATTATTCTCAGGAGATTTGGGAAAAGTGCAGCAGGTAAGGATCATTACAATTGCTTTTGTCTGAAAGTCTGGAATTATTATTTTTTAGCATCAAATAATGGGATATTATTTTTCGGATTGTTGAGATACCTTTTAATTATGAAATTTCTTGAAAATCGAAAGAATAATGTGTATATCAGTGTGATAAATTAGTATTGCATTTTGTAATGTAAATATTACGATTAATTTGCACGTTTGCTCGATTTGTGATCGATATTTTATAACTATGAAAGTTTATAATGAAAAGAAGAATCGAGAGATATGTTAAAATATTGAATAGTAGATCTTCAATTTACTAATTTCAAAAAATATTTTTGTGAATTACTCTTATTATTTTCTAATTGCATAATTTTATTAAATTACTTAAGTAAAATCGAATTTAAATTATTTTAATTGCAAAAAGATGGCGCCATTTTTTCGCGTGAAGAAATCCCGTGACGTTTACGTCGGCGGATGTTCAAGGGCGTAGGCGGCGCCTGTAATGGCTACCTCGATTAGGGCGATTAAAAGATGGAATACAAATAACATATCGGCTATTATACAAAGTTAAGAAACAATTAATATTTGAATCAATCATTTCACAAAACAAACATTTTAATGCCAATAGTTTAACAACGGCAATTAATAATAAGAGAAATTTTACAAAATTATTCCTATATAATCAACTCTGCATAAACGAATATCTAAGAAACATTTGACGATAAATTAATCATTGATTTAACAGCTGTTGTAATAAATAGGTACGTTAAATTTTATATAATGAAAACGAAACTTTGCCTAATGAGTTCATCGTTGTGGGCGATCCTTAACCAAATATGCAGGTATCAAGGCTTTAAATCAACCAGCTGCTGCGAAATCGTGTCGGTTAGATAAATATTTCAAAAGCGTTATTATGAATATGGAAAGCAATCTTAGAGTGGGTTTGTAGTAAACAAAGGTAATTGCGAGGTAATTGCAAATGGCTAATTTATTTTCCGTATAAATATACGATTTACTATTTTTTAAAATGTGATAATTTGGATTTTCCACTGTGTGATTAATTGTAAATGCAGAAAAATACGTTCCGAATATGCAATTGAAATCTACGGTAATTTCTTCGCCATTTTATATGTGGGCATCGAAATCTCTAGTGATTTCACCGATTTTATTATATTTTAATGTAGATATTATCACTTAAATCACGTTCATATATTACGTTAGTTATTTACTTTCTTTTTATTAATTTTTGCTTGTATTTCTACATATCTTTAAATTATTAATATTATTTTCATGTAATTGTTATTCTTAAATAATATTTATTTGGTATTCAATATTCGGTTTGGATTCCTAATATTGATTTAAAATATTGATTTAATAAAAACATATATAAAATTTATATCTGAAATAATTCGAGTTCTAGTAAAAATGTAATGCATAACTTATCATTATTTTATTCGCAATTTTCTAATAGAGAAAAAAGTTTCCAAGTGTGGAATTGTTCTCATGTTAATATCATTGTTAATGTCCTTGAAGTTTTCGATTAGCTATCGCAGGTTTTCTGCATATGAGTCAACATCTTAAATTACCTACGTGATAGCTGTTTCCGCTGCCAAAATACCTATTTATATCCATTCAATCATTCAACTTTGCTAGTGTATGATTTCTTATCCTTATAGCTATACACAAGATATTTTTTAAAAATTTGTGTTACGCTATAAGCGAAATTAAATAATCTATTCTTTAATACTATTTTTCAGAAATGTAATAGTTCTTTTTTTGTCAGTAATAATAATTCACTATTACTATACTATAGTATATTATTATTTCATTTTTCTATTTCTCTTAAAACAATACAATTTGCATTTTTTAAAAGAAATTTCTTCATCCCCCGACTGCAAAAAATCGCGTCCCAAGAGGGACATATTCTTAGTCACGATCGCGAATCTGACCAGTAGTGGTCCTCTGGAAGAGTCCTCTCTTCTACTTCTACTTCTCATAAGAAGGTAGAAGCTGCGAGATCACATCCTCGCGAGATATTGATCTCGACGATCTCGTAAATCGTAGAGCTCTGATACATATCTGGCGCCAGCCATCGAAAAGGGCTTAGCGCGCGCGCGCGCCTGAAAATGGCGGCCGAGCGGCCGTAACCGACCATGGTGGTCCGATGGTGGTCGAGGTCGACCATGCTCCATCGCCGTCGTCGTCGTTGCCGCCGTCGCCGCCTATCGTGGTGTACTAAAAAGTGAACGTTGCATCGTGCATCGCCGCCGCCACCACCGCCTTTGCGAATAAACGTGTCGCTTTCTCGACAGGCTGCGAGCGCCTGCACCCGAACGAGACCCCGCTATACTAACCCGTCTGAAAACGTTCACCGTCTGTCTCAATGTTGGCCTTAACCCTCGCTCAGGGTGCCGTCACGAATCGGGGAAGCGCCGCGATTATTTCTTTTTTCCTGCTATACGATCTTTTCGGACTGCGATTCGTGGAAGGTGAAGAAAGAATGCAGCCTGTTCCAAACCGAATTATAGTATAGAATGGAAGAGTGTTAGGTTTTTGCATGGGTCCTTTCTAGATTAGATAAAATTAATAGGAGAGTAAAGGATATGGGATACAAACTGAAAATGAGCTCAAGGTTGATAATAAGAAACACGTAGTAAAAAAATAATCTGGTTTGTGGATCGAGACAGTTTGAATCATATTTTAAACCGTATCTTAAATAAACAAATATATATATTACATTCTTTATATAATATAATTTAATATGATAAAAAAGTCTATTAGAAATAATTTATTTTACAAAATCTATATAATTATGAAAAAATATGTAAATATTTAAATATTTTAATACATCTAAGAATATTATTATAAAATATTTAATATTTTATAATAATATTCTTTAGAAATTATTAATGATTTTTTGATAGATACATTTAATACTTTAGAATAAAAAAATTAATCAAATTATTTTGATAAATTTCTTAAATAAAGTTAAATGTCATAAATAATACTGATAAAAAATATTTTTTGGACAAACGTGCAAACGTGATAAGAAGTGATAAATATTTGAATTTGCCGCCTTTCATATGACAGAGACAATGTTTGCGCGATCGATCGTATTTGCAGGAGTTCGACCCAGTTATTAATAAGACTTTCTCTTTTATTTTAGCCATGGACTGGAAGGGGTTTGCGCTGGCATTTCTGGTGGTGAGTAAACAAAAAAAACTGTATCTTTTGCTGCGTACCTTGACTAACACGAATTAAGACATCTTACGATTAGTCATTTAGACGATTTTATTCTTTTACTTTTTTTTTACTTTACTTTTTGTAGAATACAATTAAAATATATCTTTTTACGTTATGGAGTTGTTATTATAAAATTGTATAAATTTTTCATTTTATAAAAAAAAGCCGTTACAATATCTGATTAGTTATAATCTGAAGAGAAGATCGTTTATCTTTTGTTTTATGAATAAATTTGATATAATTTTAGTTTATTTTATTTTATATTTAATTTAATCTAAAAATAATTTTTATCTCTCTTTTATGTATATTTTTTTCCTATAAGAATATACAATTGATGTTAAACGCAACTGCTTAAGCTAGATTTAAAAGTAATTGTTCTAATTTTCCATTACGTAATTTGCACGAGGTGAAGCCGGCCTAACGTTTAATAATAACAGTAGCACGTAAAAAGTGTGCAATAACGGTGCGTTTATCGTTCACAATTCTATCATTAATAATTCTATTTAAAGAAACCGATTGATGGATTATCCTTGCGCTTGACTTGACATCCTGAAGTCGAAGGACGAGGTGATAATGTATAATTGAGAATACGGCGTTCTCGCACTCGCTATCGTTCGGATAGGCATGGATTAATGGCGTCCGTAATACGTACACACACTTTCTCCCGCAATCGCACACGCGTGTTAGTTAGATATGTGCCGTATTATGTAATCCTTTGTTGGCGCATGACATCAAGAAAGGTGTCTGCATGATTGTTAAATCGCATCGACGTCAAACAGCTGCAGAGTCTTAACGTTCAAATCGACGTGTTCGTCAGTGGAAATTTGACAAACGAGCCTCTTGAGAAAGCAGCTGGACGGCTTTCGAGCGATTTTCAGCCATACAAAGGCGGAATATGCATGCGAGATTTTCTCTTTAATCACGTGTCGTTGCTCAGTTTTTTGCACTGTTAATTGAAAGATATGTCCGACTGATATTTGAATCTTTCTCCTCTCAAATTAGATGTTAATGTCACTCATGAAAGTCCTTTAATCATGACAAAAGAAGTATTGACTATGTCAAAAAAAACAATTAAAGTAAAGAAGAAAAGTAAATATTTTCAAGCTAATGAATATCTTGTTAATTGGCCACAAATGTTTTATAAACGCATATTTGAGATAAGAGAAGCAGGAGAAGTTATTAATTATAATGAAATCTGGCTATTTAAATTATTTTATAATTTATTATTATAAAATAATACATTATTTTTAATGAAAATATTATATCTCCTATATATTTTGCGATGGCAATGAAAAACAATATATATAAACGAAAAGTGCGGTAATGTGGGTATTTAAGTATGACGGTATTTGGCGAGGGTTTCGGAGGATGTTATGTCACACAGACTAACAATAGTCGTGGGATTACTTTCTGGATGAGAGGTTGACGAGTTTAATGTCGTTAACCCATTCAAGAGGCGGTAATCCCGGCGTTACGTAACACATAATAATTGATAATTACCCTAAACTTGGCGTTTACGTGTAGCTTAAGTGTCTATGACCGGATCTTGGAAACGTGCATTGCTGATGATAATAGAAAACAACCATTTATCATAGAAATTTCAATTGTTAATATGCACACTTTGCACAGAGTATTAAAATTCAAAAAGATTCAGATCGTCACATTTAAAATATCTCCGAGTTAATTGTCTCATAATTTTATATTCTTTTAATTATGAGCCAGTAAAGAACGTCATAAAAGATATGTATATGTATATTCAATGGCATGTAAGTGGTTTCAACGATTATTAACATTTTCTATGGAAAAACGGTTCGTGAACAAGTTTTTATTTTTTCGTTGGTGAATCATGAAGAAGAATAATGCAACGAGTGTCGAGCTTTATCAGAACACTTTGTTGCATGTAAGAAGGAAAGACAATCCGTTTCAGAACTGCCACGCCCACTTTTACTTTGTGTTCTTTTAAATATCGACACGAGATCTTGAAAGGGATCTGGAGCTCGCATTTCCATAAACGTTTCATTTTATGTTTGATAAAAGATCACTGATAACCGGAAGCGTGACGCGTGAATATTGCTCTTTGTAATGTTACACGTTTGTCCATTTCTTTATTACAACAGAATCAATTTGATGGTTAAATTTTTTAACGTGATAACTTCAGCATATATTACGTCAATTTTTTTTAAACAGGTTCTTGTCAAACGCAAAGAAATATTCTAATTTTTTTTTTTTTATTTTTAAATTTAAAGATTATTTTTTATTGCTAAGAACATTTCCTAGTCGATGAAAGGAATTTTCAAATAGTTCGTGGGTTGTACTCTCACTTGGAAATATTAGGAATGCAAATACGCTTCTAGCAAACATTCGATGTGTCGGGTTGATCAAAAAGATCAATAGAAACGTGTATGCTGACGAAGAGAAGAGAAAGTCAAAAAGTCTCGTCTGGACAAACACACTCCATTTCTCTCTGCAAAATACACCGAACGTTATTATAACGATACAGTTAATAGGAAATACAAACTCACTCGTCCATCCAGCAAATCCAAATCTAAATTAGGATTTATTGAGCGGAGTTATCCGTTCCGATTAGAGCGATCAGTGAAATCGCGTATGTTCGATCGCGCTCGATCGTGTTCGGGGAGCTCGAGTGGGCGCGCGTTTAAAGTTCGGAAGTCATCGCGATTAAGCCGAGGCGCAATCTTCTCGCCCACGACAGTGGCGACAGTCCCTGGAGAAATCCTTCAGCTCCTTGTCCGCTGTTAAATTAGTATCTCGCCGTGACATAATCGCGGCTTTGCTCGTGGCATCGGATCGCGGACGTCACGTCAGGAACACGCGCCGCGACAAGGATTGCGTACGAGAGTGACTAACTAACTAGCGGGCGAAGTGTGTCCGCAATAGTGAAGGAGCGAGTAATGGGCGGCGATCTCAAGGAGATCCCAGCCCACATTAGATCCGCGTTTAAAATCGCGGCCTGTCGATCGGCCATATAGTCCAACAGCCGCTCCAATTACCTATTGAACTACTTGACGTTCAGGGATCACCTCTCTCTCGTCCGTTGTCTAATTGAACGCTCGACTGTCCGAGGGTCATTATCTTTGATGACGCGGCGACATCGCGGAGTTAACTCTAACTAATAATCACACTAATCGTAACGAGAGCTCTTGATCGCTAATGATCGATCGCGTTAGGAAAATCGACGATCAATCCGACACCTTCGTTGAGAAATCGCAAATTTCGCGAGAATGTTCGTCGTAATTTTTTTTTTTTTTTTTCTTCGGTTTATCTTCGGTAAGGGAGGATACGCTCGCGAACGGAGCGAAGCGACGTGGAAGGTCAGTCGTTCTGGATGGATTCCATCGGATGCGGAACGTCGCGGGCCTTATATGGTCCGGTCTGCTGCTGGCGGATAATTCCACACGCCGCCGCGCTTTATTCGAGGTATCTCCGGCTCTGCGTTTGAATCACGCTCATCGCGTCTCGATCCACAATTGTATCGCGCATCGAGCAATAAAGCAATAACGATCGCGCGATAATCCACCTCGCTACGAGCGCTCATCAAATTAATGATACTCCACAATAAAGTCGGCCGCGGCCGCCGAGCGCACGGTTCACCTCGTTCTCGCCTTCACTTTGGCGCTTTAATAAATACAGTCGCAAATACGGCCCGGCAAGAGAGGGAGAGAAGTACAGGGGCCACGTCGTTCCGAGCATGTATATACACTTGAATGGCCAGTGACTCGTTAGACCACTTTCATTGCACGGACGAACAAGCGCCGGCCATGCTGACGTCAACGTTCATCGCGGAGACTGCTGTCATAAAACTTTCCGTCGCATAAGAAAACTCGTCGAGGCGATTGTTCGCATCATCGCACGCACTGGAAAAGGACAACTTTTATCCCAGTTATATATATACCAGATCATCCCCTCTAGAGAAAAAAAATCCGAAATCCGATTCCAAAAAAATTGGTAAAATTGTTCTCAGATGTTCTCAGATGTTCTCTGTCGCTACATCCGATACTTTGCTCGTTGCCGATGCCTAAATTGAAAGCGACGGAGAAAGAATAAAAGTGTGTCGAGGAAAAATCACATGGCGCGACGCGATCGTCCTTGTATCATTTACGCCCGTTCGCCATCGCTTCGCTTACTTATATTTCCGAGAGACTCGGATAGATCAGGCCTTCCACGTGACGCGTGATCTCTCAATCGATTGCCGCCGTTGGAAACAATTTATTTATCGCGAATGCGGTCCATGCCATTCCCCCTCTCCCCCGAGTTAAATCGTTTCTTCGGATTCGCATATTCTTCTTTCGCGTTACGGCCGAGCATTACGCATTACGCGAAATTGCCGACGCATTGCAATGAGTCTGGAATTAGATTGATGGAAAGCAATTACAGTACTCGTGTATCTCTCATCGCTGCTAATCTAAAAATAAATGATCGCGACATTATGCGTTTCGCCGGATGGTATAATTACAGGCGATTTTACTCACGGATATACGTTAATGACGCTAATGCGTTGCACGTCTTTTCCATTATCGGACCAGGCCGACACGTCTTTCCGCGTCACAAAGCCTCGTCTACACTCGTCTCATTTACAAGCTTGTAAGGTGAGAAAGAACGATGACGCTTCCAGGTTTTACGCGAGAAATTAATCATCATTTTATTACTTCATTTCCTCTCCCTGCTAAAACGCCGCTGTTTACGTGATTTTAAAGGCAACGACGTGCGGAATGATCTTTTCCCTCTTTGCCGCGCATGTCGCAAGCTGCTATAAATAACGCAATCGAACTATCATTAATTTTCCAGATTTTTCTTTTTAAACAAATTACTTTCTCTCTCACGCGCATTTTTGCGAATAGCCAATAGTAATGATGGTCATTCGAAATAATCCGATGAAAAGTAAAAACGGTTCATACGTCCTGGAAAGCGAGAGGTGATCGAGTCTCTAGTCAGGCATGACATTTTCACGAGACTTTCATATCGCGCACTTTAATCAAGTGGCGATCGATCATCGATCCGACATCGATGAAATTAATACCTAGATGCGAAATATGCCTGGCACACACACATATATAACGCGCTGCGAAAAAAAGGTTGAAAATTGCGTTTAAAATTGCATCGGCAGTTCTATAAATTACAGAGAATACCATAATCAATTTGTTCAACGCTGTTCAATTTGTTAAGCGGAGCATACGGAGTACAGTGTGATAAGTTTCCACGTTTTGCGGTTAACAGAAATTGCTACGACATGGCATTTCCTCTCTAATCGTCGTAGTTAAAGACGCAACGTTCCAATCATCTCATAATGACGCGACAATTAACAGATGCGTTATGACATTATTGTTAAAATGGATAATGATACCGTGAAGTTGTTTGGAAAGTTCAGGGATGGAAGTCAAGTTAAATTCGAATTGAGATAAATCATCATTCGCATCGTTGCGAGTACAACCCGGCTTCGCCCGTAATTACGTGCATTACTTTAATGAATGGCCGCATTCGTCTCTAAAGCATTTCTTACAATTAGTTCTTCAGGGTCGGGCACTTCATTTCTTCTTTTTTTTTTTTTTTTTTCTCCCTCTAACCAGCACCAGCGCTTATTTCATCATTGACTTTACCGCAAACGCCGATGATATCACACTGCCAATTGTGGCAACTTGCTCCGTCACCGGGAATAATCTCCTGATAAATACGAACTGTCTAACTGGTAAAAGTGACGGTGACACCACTCTCTTTTTCCATGCCTTTCTCGGAGTTTACCTAACGCCGATTATCTCGCACAATTTTATGTAATTTTTTTTCCACGATTCCTTTTCCCACTTATAAATTTCTTTATAAATTTCTTTTCCGCGTCTTATCCATCGTGGATCGACATTGTTTCACATTTATATCGCGGCCGGTCGCGCCTCAGGAGCGGCCTTGAGAAAACTTCCTGAGGCTTGTAAGCACACCAGGGTTTATTTAAGCGTTTTAAAGTTGTTAAACACTCACGCCGCGCATATTACAACCTCGTCTTACAATATCGTGTGCATTGCGCTATTCTAATTGCATCCGCGCTCACCAACGGCTAATACAGCGCGATGGCGCGACCAAGTCAGCGCTATAACAATCCTATCTTATTAAGCGAGAAGATCTAAAACATTGCCTTTCCCCTATTTTCAGATCACAATAACGAGGCACGGTAGCAAGCCCACACACGCAGCCCAGATACCTCAACTGCCGACGTGTGAGTATACAAGACTTACTTTCTAATTGTCTCTCCGACGACGGAGATACTTAATTGGGACGAATCAATTAGACTTTGATCTCCTGTATCGCGGAATCGGGAAGAATTTACGATACATCTCCCGTGCTCGTGCTATTTTTTTTTCCCCCCCTCCTAGTCAATGCCAAACGCACGAATCAAGACGAATTTTCTCCCGCGGAAAAATCCCGCGTGTGCGATCCCTCCTTGGTAAAGCCAAAGTGCCGGATAATCAGATAAAAGTGAACGCTTTCCACATGATGCGCACTTTCTAATGACGGCACAATACGCCTGATGACAATGATTCGAGGTGGGATGTTTTGTGGTAACGACGTATAACAAATTTGGAAGTAAACATAATTACTAGAAAGTAATCGACTTCTCTCAAACACATACAACTTTCTTGAGTACGTTACTTGAGTAGACGAAGAAGAGGCTTTACCGGGTAATTAATTACCCGGGTTAATTGCCTTGCGGTGCCTCAATCAGTCAGTCGTGCGTTTAAATACGTCTAAAGAGTTTATCTATCCTTGACACATTTAATATACCCACAAATACCGATTCCTTATCAATGTTGCAATTATGCCAAAAGCGAACTTGAGGGTAAAAATCCTTTCGACGGAAAGAGCCTTGTCGGAAGGAGCCTTCGTCGGCTATAGATTTTTCTTTTACATCGGCGCGGTCGGTGCAGAAAGTAATTAATCGAGCCGACGCGCGGCCAGGTGATTTCAACGAAAGGGAAAAGCATCGTTCGGAAGAGAGTCCTTTCCAGACGGGACCGAGCGACGACCTT